CAGCCACACAACTAAATAACATATGAAGATGTCACTGTACCTGTGAACTTTAATTCTACTTGAGTTCAAGCCTTCTTGGACACAAAAATAAATTGATCTATCTCCAATGCCTAAAATGGAGGTAAGTCGAATAAGGTCAAAAATTACTAGGCTCATTAGTATTACATTGTAATATACTTAAATACTTAGTATCCTGTAATACAATAATACACATATCTTGAGTATCATATTACTTATACTTGGTACAATTTGAGTGTTCTAAAGCACTCATTTCATGGACTGTTTATATTTCACGTCTCAGCAAAGACCAAACGATCTAGTAGGAAAAATATGATTCATTCCGCTTCAGCTTCTATGAACTCTTATATATAATGTTATTTTGAAAATGTTTGTAATCTCTATGGGAAGTAAGAACATTAAGGCAGGTCAGTCCTGGGTTCTAATCTTCAGTTTGCTACTAAGACCTTGGGCAAGGAACTTCTCCGAGCATATATGTTCAGTTTCTGATTACAAAATTAATCTATCCTGAGCAGGAGAAAATTTTAGCAAACTTCTTTGTATGTTATGCTAAGCCAAACTATAATGCATCAGCTGCATGAACAATTACTCCTAGTGTTCATCCTTATACCCCAGCAAGAAGATGGTATCTATGTGTATTTGTGAGCCTATCTCTTAGGCATATGAGATGATTTGAAAAACTTTAAAGGTAAACACTTTTTATACCGAAAGAAAATATCAACCTCATAATGTTACCAAGGGTAAAACTGACATCTGAAGCAGTGAACTGTCTTCCCCAACTATACGGCGACTTACTGGCAGATTTGGGACAAAAACTCTTGTTACCTCTCTTGTCTTGATCTTCTGTCCACACCGTAGCATACAGAGATGCTTCCAAGACTGTCAAACCTTATCTTTTCGGATGTTCAAGCTCAGATAGGAGAGAGAGTTCCACAGAGAGATGACCGATAGAAGGCCAACCAATATACAGGGTTAAAAAGCGATGACATGTGTTCACCTGGACAAGTATTCTGCTCTCTGGAGTAAGGCATTCTGAGAGCATCACAGATGAAGTTTGCCAATATCCCCCCAACAGCTTCTAAAATTCTCCTTCCATTGACTTCTGCTCCAACCCTGAAGTGCTCCCTTCTGCCCCCTGGCCAGCTCACATAATCAGAATGCTTTGCTTTGCTGCCTAATTGAGTGCTTGCTACTCAGAAAGAATCGCACACCCTTGAGATGCTCCTGGTGCAGCTTTATTCCAGGGCAGAGGAGTCTAATCCGCGGCCGTTAAGGTACCGGCCATGATGGCAAGCAAGTGGCCCATGTGTCACCCATCAGGAGCGTGTCTGGTATAACTGCAGACACGCAGATAAGAACTTCTAGGTTTTTCTCTGTCTGTTTTACTTGATGACAAATACTGCAATCCTAATACTGAGAGCATGAGGCAGAATTGAAATTACGTAAAGCCTCTGGGAGGAGAGGTCAGCCGGGGTGGGATGGAGACGCTGTGTTTGTGTGTGTGGGTGGGGGGAGTGTGGTTCAGGAGGGCCTCTGGCTGCACCAGCACCCGGAGATGGTGCCTGCAGGGGAAAGTCTGTGAGACTGAGGTGGGGGGGTGGGTGAGGGCAGGAAAATAATGAATTCTGAGACAATAAAAGTATATTATGAGTCAAATACACAGTAGCCTTAGACATAGCTACCAGGTTTCCTAAGGGCTGATCTACATTAGGAAACCCTGGGGAGCAAAGAAGACATTTTAAAAAATGAAGACATTCTAAAATCTTAGGAAGTATGCCATAAGACTTCATGTTAATTTAAAAAAAAAACAAGCAATGGAAACATGGCATTAAGTAAAAATCATGTGAATTATAATTTATGTTTAGCTTTACGAAGTGGACGGGCTAGAAGAGCTTATAACGTTAAGCCTCAAAGCCACGGAGAGGAATTGCATTTCCGTTCTATAACCTTCCAGTTTTTGAAAGATGGACAAGCTTCGTGCACTGCTCAACTTTTGTTTTCACTTAATTACCCAATTACTTCAGAAATTTTATACTTGCTGCAAGTTGTGCGATTTTGAGGCATTTCAACCAGTTTCCTCGTTTCCTGTCGACACACCCCCTGTACTAATTTCCTGTGGCTGAATGTCCCCTATTGCAAAATTTTAATTCAGGTTCATGAGGTTCAGCCTGGAATTTATTGTATAGTTTGCCCTTTACAGCTTCTGTTGATGTGGAAGCACTAATAACCCAGAGCTCACCCCCTGGCACACACACCCACAAATACACACACCGGCCCCTCAGTTCACAGTCCAACTGTCCAGCAATTAAATTTGCTGATCCAACATGAAATATATTATAGTTATGTATTTATAAATAACTCCTCCCTAAGGGAATCCACCTTTTGCTACCACAAGGATTGACTTGAGTCTTTCTACTAAGTATCTAAAACAAGGTAATGGACTCATTAATGGAATGTGGACATGGCACGGTAACAACAGAAACAAAACGGGCACCTGCAAGTCACTCTCACAGTTCAGTAGGTTCCAGCTGAGGGAGAACTAGCGAGCTGAGTGTGTGCCCAGCTCTGAGCTTTCATGTTGTGCCTGCACCACAGCTAATTTCATCAGGAAGCACCCCGAGACCGAGCAGGGCACTTTATCACAATTCGAATCTATGTGGTTGGATATGTAAAAAGCAAAGGTAAACTGCAGTTCTTTTATTATACTCAAAAGGCCCTCACTTTATAAAATAACCCAAGAGAATATTGCTGGAAATAACAATCTTCTTTGTCTCTTTACAGTGTCATTCACAAATGTTTTTAAAGGAAAATCTTCAAAAAAATTTTTAACTTTTATTTATTTTTGAGAGAGAGAGAGAGAGCAAGCTGGGGAGGAACAGAGAGAGAGGGTAACACAGAATCCATTTCAGGCTCCAGGCTCTGAGTTGTCAGCACAGAGCCCAATTCGGGTCTAAAAACACAAAATGTGCGATCATGACCATAGCCAAAGGTGGAGGCTTAACCAACTGAGCCACCCAAGAGCCACTAAAGAAGAATCACTTTTAGTCAGACCCGAGTTGACCATTGTTTTCAATCCTTTAGCAACAAAGTGCAATGTTTCCATGGAACAGTTACAAACAGATCACAAGAGAAAAAGCAAAGTTGATGTCTTGGAGTCAAAGCTTTCAGGCAAGAAAACTGAAAATCATATGCATGTTTATCATCTTTTCTTAATTCTAAAATACCATTAATTGCAAGAAAATGGGCTTTGGTTACGACAGCCAAAAACACCACCGTCTGAAACAGTCCTTTGAGGGGTTCCTGAGGGGCTCAGTGGGTTAAGCATCTAACTCTTGATCTCACCCCAAGTATTGATTTCACTAGGTGTGTAGTCTACTAACAGAAAAAACACAAAGAAACAAACACAGAGTTTTTTGAAAATTTTAAATACATGTGAAAGTGTGTTACCCATTGATGAAAAAGAAGAAGAAGGAACAACCAACTGTAGCAACTTGTGATGTGCTCTGGGTGAATTCTGCTTGGCGGGGGGAGCAAGCTCTGAAGACTGGCCCCCCATCCCCATGCTACTTTCTAAACTTTCCCCAGTAGTTACTAAGCTCATATCTGTTCTGTGTCTTGATGCTTTAGTATCCTTTAAAAATATTTAATTATCTAGAACCAGTACAGGAAAGAAGGATGGTAAGACTCTCAGATGAGAGCAGGAGAGGGGATATTTTGGGGGGATGCATAGCCTATAAAATACATAAAGCGAAGTTAAATTACACATTGCTAACATTTTGATGAACAAGAATAATAATGAAAAATTTACATTCTGTTATTGATAAAGTTGCAAAATAATTTCAAGTGTCCTGTTAAGAGTTTTGGCAGGTAAAACAGGCTTAATCACACCTGTAGGACATTCAGGGCTCTAAGGAGCCTCTGCCCAAAGCACGTCGGGCTTCCTGGATCACCATCACCCCCTCCTGAATGTGGTGGCTGTCTGGGTGGACCTAGCACTGTGCCAGGCAGTTGACACTAAAAATCACATGTGTACTTCCCAGCACATAGTTACTATGACCCCTGGTTTTCAGGTTGATGGTTTGGGAGTGAAGGAGGGAATGGGAAGCTGAGTTGTCAATGGACACAGTCATTTCTCATTCGCAACTTTAGGAAGTTTGGAATTCTACAAATCCTACAATTTTCCTCTTGGAGCACCTCAGAGACCTTGAATCAGTAAGCTCCTTTCATCCCGACTGCTCTGTTTCCAGGGGCCGGTGTTTAGATAGTGGTGTGCGGTATGTTTCACGTTAAGACAACCTAGAAACGCATTCGATTTTCACTGTAGAAATGAAGAGACTGAAAGTCAGAGGGTCAGAAACATTCCCAGGGTAGTGTGACCAATTGGACAAGGTATGTCCTTGTTGGACTTCAAGTTCCTTGTTATTAAAAATTCTCATATGAATTCTGACCTTCTTAATGTAAAAGGATATAATTCCTTAAATTGAGTCTGATACCTTGCTAGGTATCGTCTACATTATTTCTTCGGGATACGAGGGGTGATAGAGAAACAATTTTGACTACTTCAGGAATCTCACAGGCATTAGGAGAAATTAGAATAAATTCCAATGGCAGGAACTATGCCACCTTCTACCTAATAGTAGGTACCTAGGCCGAGAGAACTCAAGAATAATGAACCTGCAAAACAACAAAGCGTCGAAGGATAAATTCCATGAACGTGGAAACTGACGATATGCTATACAAAATCTTGAAATTCACTCTGCTAATAGGCTGTTACAAATATAGAAACACTTTTGAAATACTTGGAAAGATAAGCATTTATATTTTTATCAGTACATTTTTCACATTATTGATACCATCAGTCTGTAACTTAGGCAAATTATTAGCAAAGTATTTATGACCAATCGACGGCAAATAAATATGTAATTATTTATTAACTTAGTGACTTTCTATATTGCAGGGAACCAAGAGCTGAACCACCGATCATGAACGGGCTCAACACAAGCACCTCCGAAGAGTTCATCCTCTTAGGTTTCTCAGACCGACCATGGCTGGAGCTCCCGCTCTTCGTGGTCTTCCTGGTTTCCTATATCTTGACTATCTTTGGCAATCTGGCAATCATTCTCGTGTCTCATCTGGACCCCAAACTCCATACCCCCATGTACTTTTTTCTTACCAATCTGTCACTCCTGGACCTCTGCTACACCACAAGCACAGTTCCACAAATGCTGGTTAACATACGAAGTGCCAGGAAGGTCATTAGTTATGGCGGCTGTGTGGCCCAGCTCTTCATTTTCCTGGCCTTGGGTTCCACTGAATGTCTTCTCCTGGCCGTCATGTCCTTTGATAGGTTTGTCGCTATTTGCCGGCCTCTCCACTACTCAGTCATCATGCACCAGAGGCTGTGCCTCCAGCTGGCGGCCGCATCCTGGATTAGTGGCTTTGGCAACTCCGTGTTGCAGTCCACCTGGACCCTCCAGCTGCCGCTGTGTGGCCATAAAGAAGTGGATCACTTCTTCTGTGAGGTCCCTGCTCTGCTCAAATTGTCTTGTGTGGACACAACAGCAAACGAGGCTGAACTATTCTTTATCAGTGTACTATTCCTTTTACTACCCCTGATGCTCATCCTGATATCGTATGCTTTTATTGTCCAAGCAGTGTTGAGAATCCAGTCTGCTGAAGGCCGGCGAAAGGCATTTGGCACATGTGGCTCCCATCTAATTGTGGTGTCACTGTTTTATGGCACTGCTATCTACATGTACCTGCAACCGCCATCCCCTGCCTCCAAGGACCGGGGTAAGATGGTGTCTCTCTTTTATGGGATCATCACACCCATGCTCAACCCCCTTATATACACACTTAGAAACAAAGATGTAAAGGGAGCATTTAAAAGGTTGATTGTGCGGGTCTTCTTAATCAAGAAATAGGAATGCCCAGGGGCGCCTGGGTGGCTTAGTCGGTTAAGCGTCCGACTTTCGCTTAGGTCATGATCTCACGGTTCGTGGGTTCGAGCCCCGCGTCGGGCTCTGTGCTGACTGCCAGCTCAGAGCCTGGAGCCTGTTTCAATCTGTGACTCCCTCTCTCTCTGACCCTCTCCTGCTCACGCTGTCTCTCTCTCTCTCTCTCCTAGAAATAAATAAAACATTAAAAAAAAAAAAAAAAGAAATAGGAATGCCCAAACAGTAGGCTTTCTTAGATATTTTTCAATGCCAGGCTTCAACTCATGACCCTGAGATAAGACCTGAGCTGAGATCAAGAGACAGATTCTTAACCAGCTAGGCCAGCAGGTGCCCCTCAAATGGTATGCCTTCTGAAAGACTTAAGATTTCTGTATTTTAATAATTTAATTGTCTCTAAATTGCTTTATTCTCACTACTCTTAGAACTATTATGGTGATCTCTCTCAAATAAAATGTCATAGTTAGAAAATTGCATTTATTTTCTACTTTCTAAATATATTCACTGTACAAGTCCCAAGAGCTGGTCTGTTATGATCCCCTAAAATAGTGTAACCTTGAAATATTTAACATCTTAAGCCTGATACCTCTGGTATGTGTACTTGGGGAAGAACTAGACTCCTGTGAGACTAGAATAAGAGGTTAGTAAACAAAACATTTTTATACACATGCAAATACCTTCACACACACTCAACCCACACCCACCCCAAATACATTCACACACACTCACCCCCCCACACTCAACCTACAGTCAACCTCAACACATCCACACACACTCAACACAAATAATAGCCACACACACTCAATCCACACTCAACCCAAATAAATCCACACACACTCAACCCATCCTTCTGTAGGAAATTTATAATAAGTACAAAAAACCATTCATAGCCCCCTCTTCTTAACTGTAGATATAAGGTTAATAGTCCCGGTTTAAATTATTAACACTAACCCCACATCAACATAATCCTAAAATGCACAACGATGTTCCTTCCACAGTTTTACTACGTCTTCCATTCTCAAGCATCTACACTTTCCACTTCTGAAGTGTCCTATTCTATTCCGTCAACTGTAGCTACATTTTAGACCTGAGTCAAATAGGTTTTTAAAATTTTTTTAAATGTTTATTTATTTTTGAGAGAGAAACACAGAGAGAGCACAAGCAGGGGAGAAAGAGAGAGGGAATCACAGAATCCGAAGCAGGCTCCAGGCTATGAGCTGTCAGGATGGAGCCAGATGCGGGGCTCAAACCCATAAACCGTGAGATCGTGACCTGAGCCAAAGTTGGACACTTAACCAGCTGAGCCTCCCAGGCACCCCAAATAGTCGCTTTTTTGGTAAACAGTTTTTCATGATCATCCTACTGTCTATATGATCTTTCTTTCTTTCTTTCTTTCTTTCTTTCTTTCTTTCTTTCTTTTTTAACTCTAGGCACTTCTTGTCTAAATCATGAATATAAAAGCAGCACAGCTTATAATGACATCCATTACTTGCTTGATGCACTTTCCTCATGCAAGAAGCAAAGCTTATGAATTCCATGTTAGTTCCCTTGAGTGAGCTGTAATCTGTGCTAGTTCCATAAGACCCTCAGTGAGCATCAAAGTGCCGAGGAAAATCCGTAGACACTGTGAGTTGGTTGATTTTATGATTCATGATTGTCATACTGTAATCATTGTAATCGCTTCTTCACTATCCTTCTTTTCCAATGTTTTTCTTCTACTAAATATATCATACAAAGAGAAAAGACAACTAAGAAATACAATTAGCGCATTCTTGTTAAGAGCTCCCAATAACAGCATCCTTTCTGCCTCAGTGTAATTCCAACACAGCACAATGGGTCTTAAAGCTTCCACAAGTATCAGAACCACCTGGAGGGCCTTAAAGTCCTCAAGGTGGGGGAGGGACCCCACCTCCAGATTCTCTAAGGTCTGCGTGAGGGCGGGACCTGGAAATTTGCATGTGTAACGAGTGCCCAGGTAATGACAATCAGGGGACGACACTTCAGAGACTGCTGGGCTAATATTTAAAATAAATAAAAATGTTTTGCTGAGTTCCTATCTATTATCTCCATCGATGAGACCTATAATCAAAAGGGAAAATGGAAGCAAAACACTGAAAGAATAGATTGAAGTATGAGAAGACATTCCCCAGTGAAAATGCGTTCATATTTTGAAGTTCGAATAAATAATATACTGGACTGCTAGAGATAAGTTTTCGTATGACCCCAAAGTCAGTATCAGTAACTTTCAAAAAATTATAAGGAAATAGCAGTGAAACCAGAGTGATGGAAATTGAGGCATTTCTTATTTTTAAAAATGAGCCAGTAATGGATTCAATACATGATACAATGGTAAGTTTTAAAATGACTTATAACAAAGTTCTACAAATATTTTACTATCAGCTTGTGATTATTTTAAAAGTATATATCATATAATAAATACAGATTAATATAAATATATGAGAAATATATGGCATGTTAATCTAAGTATATACTATATAAATAATTATTGCTATTATTAAGTATTAATGTATGATGTAAATAATTATTTTGATTATTTATATATTATCTTATGTACTATATTATTTAATGTACTATCCTATTCAATGTATTTAATATATTTTTAATGTATTTACTACATTACTTAAAATATGTTATAAATAACTAGAATCCATTCTAGAATAACAAATACTAAACTACGTTTAATCGTCTTTACAGAGGTCCTAGACTGGTATTGTCAGGGAATGTTAAGTCTATAGACGGACCCCGATCTCTGAGGAGAACGGGCACACATCTCATAGTGTTGCATAATATGGAAAAGTAGTGACCAGGGCAGTAAAGCAATTCTATTTACTGTCGTCTGTGGGGTGACCAGATGGGATGAGGGGCCGGCCCAGGGCAGTGAAAGCATTCACCTGCGGCCGAACAAAAGAGGCGGAAGCTTACCCAGTACACTGAGGGGAGCGGTGGGCAGGACCCCAGAGCAGAGGCTGTGTGCAGGGAGGCGGTGGTGGGGGGCCAACGTCATAGGGCGGAGTCAGGGGGCTTGGAGATGGTATGGGAGTGTCCCTTTTTTTGGTAATTGTGCCTGCTTGTAAGTAGCCCATTGGTTAGTTGGGGGCTATGCCATTTCAAGGAGGGGAACTTTCATGAGCTTGTTTGCATTCAGCTCCATCAGCTTGGGGTTCATAGGTGGGCCTATTGTCTTGCTCAAGGTTCTGTTGCCAAGCCTGTTGCCTTAGTAATTTATAAGAAAAAGGCAATCTTACCAATAACCTCATCTCCAGAAACCTGTAGACTCAGTCTCCTGGAGCCTTAATATGGCCCTCGCCTCCATAGTGATGTGGGAAAAAAGGCAGAAGGAAAGTGCAGGTAACATTACATTTCCTTGTAACCTGCAGCTCATGGACAGATACTTGAGGCAAATCCAGAGTATAACGTATCTCCAGGAACCCTCTACGGTCCTAATGTTAGTGCCTTCCTACAGGGAAACAACTTAGCTTGACCTTAGCCAGGCCTCAGGTATCTTAGGAGTCCTCTGTAGCACATCAAAGTCCTTCTGGAGGGAGGCCTCCCTTTTGACTTTACCTCCCCAACTCCACAGTATGTAACCAGCCACTCCACGCAAGCCCAGTGCAGCTCTTCCTGCCCAGGGGTCCTGTCCTGGCGCTTTAATAAAATCACCTTTTTGCACCAAAGACGTCTTAAGAATTCTTTCGTGGCCGTCAGCTCAGACCCCACGTCTCCAAAACCCCACCACACATGACACTTCCCCAAACACTTGGCTGTATCTACCATTTTTTCTTGGCCTGCTTTTTGTCCCTTGGGTCATTAACAGAAATGTTCATGACAAATGTGGTTTAACTATAAGAATTTGAGGCCCACAGGTAGTCATACAGGTGAGGCTAACATGTCCAAAACCAAGAAGAAGTTAAAAGTCTGGGACTTCAAAGGGAAGGAATGCAATTCACAGAAAGATAAAAAAGAATACAGGTTTGGCAAACAAGTGTTTGCTGGGCCATTCAGAAAGAACGGGACATAGAGAGGAATTTTAACAGATTTTGCTAAATTCCTCCCGGTCTCCCAGGCCTCGTTCCCATTATACTGTAGTTATGATGGGGTCTTGGAGTGTGGGGGGCCGGAGCTGACGGCCAGAAAAGAATTCTTGAGACTTCTTCGGTGCAAAAAGGTGATTTTATTAAAGCGTGGGGACGGGACCCGAGGGCAGATCTGCTCTGGGGTTGTGAGGAGAGACTGTCTACACTTGGGAGGTGGGGGAGATCAAGGTAAAGGCGGGGCTTCCAGAAGGCTGTCACAACGCTGTTGGAGGCCGGGCTGCGGTCAAGCTAAGGTTGTTTTCTTCTCTAGCAAAGCAGGAACATCAGGGCAGCAGGGGGTTCCCGGAGAAAAGTTATACTCTGTTTATGCCTCAAGTATTTGTCAATGGGCTGCCGGTTATAAGGAGATTTAATCTTATTACCATTTCCTTCTTGCCTTTGTTCCCCACAGCACTGAGGAGGGGAAGGTCAGGCTGGGGCTCCAGGACACGGAAAATACAGACTTCTGGAGACGAGGCTATTGATAAGATTGCCTTTTTCTTGTAATTTCGTGAGATAATTGTAAACTGATGGGAGACTCATGTCCTGCAGGGCGATCTCTATCAGGTAACCACTGGTTTTCTTTCCTTTCCTTCCTTCTGGGGCAGCCAGAAGTGCCTGAGGAATGTCACAGCCATTCCACCTGGGGGCAGGGGGCAGGGTAGAGTGGGGAGAGGAGGGGTAAGGGGAGGGGCTGGGGTGTTCCTCGCTAGTGCTTTGCCCTTTGGCTCCCTCATCAGTATCTATGGCGAGAGCTCCTTCCTGGATCAGTTCCTCCGTCTCAATCCTTTCAAGCAAGGAACGGAAGGTCAAAGATTCTTCCCTAACCTTCTGTTTCTTAAAAATAATCAGTCAGAAATAATCCACATGCCAAAG